AACAGCAAATAAATACTTAACAAGAACAAAGAATACAACACAAAAAGTAATTAACAAAATTTCCATTGAAATAAAGAATAGTATTAACGGTTTAATGTTAGTTTGGTAAATGCTAAATCAGTTCCTGCATAATCATTGGACACAATAATTTCGGGCTAATCTCTGGATGGATATTTCTTCAATAATCATTCCAGTCAGTAGCCTGATATTTATATTTATACAAATGGCGGAAAGAATATATTCATAGTCCAGAGTGACGTTGAATCTCGGTTTTGATTTTTTACTATTTCTTTCTATATGACAGAATGAAAGGATGAAATGAAGAGGAGGAGGACGAAAAATGAAAGATGAAGGAGGAAGAACAAAGGCCAGAAGGAAGAAATGAGGAGGAGAAGGAAAAAGAACAATGAAAGGCGGGGTAGGAGGAGGAAGAACAAAGGTGAGATGGAAACATAGTAAAAAATGAAGGAAAATAAGAGAGGAAGAAAACTAGAATGGAAAAAAGGGAAAAGGAAATTGAGAGGTATGTAATTTCGAAGAAGGAAAAGAAAGAGAGAAGCAATAATATTTCATGGTAGACAGAAGAAAGAGAGAAAGAAGAATAAAGAAAGAAAGTAAAGAGGAGAAAGGGGCACAAGTTGAGAGGAGAGAAAGGAAATATGAAGTGGTTAATAAAGGAAATGAGACTGAAATCAATAAAGAAAGAAATATGGATATGAAATTGGAGATAAAAATGAAAGAATAAAGAGTAAAATAGATAATCGAGGGATGACGGAGGGAAAAGGGAAAGAAGGAAAAAATGATAGAGGAATTAAAAATAAATGAAAAAAGAATTAAGAAAAATAAGCAAGAATGGCGGGATGGGAAGTTAGGAAAACAATATGGAACTAAAAGAATGAAATTAGAGATCAATAAAAGAAGAAAAACAAACGGTGTATGCAGAGTTAGAAGAAAGAAAGAAAGGTGAATGAAGGAAGGAAAAATATGAAAAGGTGGAAAGAAATAAAGAAAGAAAGGAAAAAACATTTAAAAAAAATCAAAAAGTGATCAAGAAATATAAAATTTAATAAAATAAATAGACATAATATATATATATATATATATATATATATATATATATATATATATATATATATATATATATACAAGTATATAATTGGTATATACGGAATGAATTCCAATAACCAACAATTACTATTCTTAAAAGAGTGCTCAATACAAAGTAGAGCAGATATATTATTATTTATATAAAAAAATTATAACATAAATATATGTTATAAAATCACTACAAAAATAGCTATTTGTTTTCAACACCCTCGGTGTCTTATCAAGTGATGATGTTGAAGATAAAATAATTTATAACATATTATATATATATATATATATATATATATATATATATATATATATATATATGCCGTTGTTAATTTTTTTTGTTCTGTATCGGCAAATCTAGACAATCTAGGCTTCGAGCGCGTTACTGAGTAAGTAATTTTGCCTTTAGGCCTTCTTTTCTTTTTCTTTTTTCAGTTAATTTTTTGTTCCAGACCTTTATGGATAAGAGATTTTGGTTTTGGCAAGTTGTCCATTGGTTTCATCAACGATCTTTTGTTTTTTTTTAATATATATATATATATATATATATATATATATATATATATATATGCATGCTTGTATGTGTGTATGCAGATATTGAAAGAAATTTTTTTAAAGGTCCATAATTTTAAACTCTCAATCGCGTGCAGTCAAGTGTTTTACTGTAGAGAGTAGAAGAGAAATCAATTTGTTGTTATTTTATCTCCGCAGAGACGCTGATAGAGAAATGCGACAAAAGTCAATAAAAACCTCAACGATATTTTATTATATAAATTGATATTTAGTGAATTTTAGCTATTTTCGAAGTTTTTAACTCATTTAGTCGTCGAAAGTTAATAATTCTGTTATCATCACTTCTGGGATTTCCAGCTACATTGCTTTCAAAATATGTAGTTTATCATTTCGTTTTTTCACTCCCGAAAATAGCCGAGACATGCTTAATAAGATTTATATCGAAGGATAGATCTGATACAGGCGTAATTACTTTTTTGAAAGCCGACATTCATGGGTCTGTATTTGCTATGACATGCACCTCAATCCTCTGTAAAAAGAGGCGTGGTTTTTGTGCAAATAACCAACATTTGCGAACGCATACTAACCTGCTGTTTGAAAACGATAAAAAAAAGATGGATTATATGAAGAGGTGACACTGTGCCTAAAGTCCAAGTACCTATCCACGATTTCAGTTGTACACTGTTTTCTCTGTTGCTGGTTGGCTGCTTAAAGAAGTGGCCACCTTCTGTGTGATTTAAAACAATAAGCTATGTCATGAAAGTACTATGCTGCTGTTGTCAGGCTAATTTCTACTGACCCTTCGTCTTGCAGCGGAAAATGTTTCAATTTCTCGTCTGGTCGTGCAAAAGAAGATTGTCTTTGGCTCGAGCGAATGACAATCAATTTCTTTTCCTTCATTATTAAATATATATATATATATATATATATATATATATATATATATATATGAAGAAATATTTTTAAGGTATGCTATATTTATGGGATAAAGTGCTAATATATCAGAGATAGAGCGTATGTGTAAATATTAAAAGAACATTTTAATAAACACTCAGAAGCGACAGACTGTTTCACGCTAAACATTTAGCATAAAACAGTTTGCCACCTCTGAGTGTTGACTGCAATGTTCAATTATATATATATATATAGAGAGATAGATAGATAGATAGATAGATAGATAGAGAGAGAGAGAGAGAGATAGATAGATAGATAGATAGATAGATAGATAGATACGAAGAGAATGAGATAGATAGATAGATAGATATATAGATAGATAGATAGATATATTCCTTCATTAGCGAATTATATTTAAGTTGCGTGCTTCACAGTAAAAATGGAATATTTAAAGAAGTTTATACTCTTTTATGCTTCTTCTTCTATGTGTTATTTTCATTCATTACGTTGTAGATCATGCCTCTTCACAACTTCCTAGTTTTTGTAGCTCTTAGCAATGTTTTTTTCTTTTTACTACTCACTCTACTACCTGTTCTGCAATATATTTACAAAAGCTACTTAAATCGGTTACTTGCTGCTACCTTCTGTCGCTCTCGTCTTCTGTGTCTCATATAGGTATCACATTTTCCAAGTCTTCTTTTCTCAGTAGATATCCTAGAAATTTCAACTGTTTCTAAATATAAGTGTCCGTTTTGTTTCCATTTTTTAACTTTTAATTTTTAACTTCACACTAACCAACAATACAATCTCGATCGAAATTTCATGCGGACTACGAGACATTGTGAAGTGAATCTGAATGTACTTCACTTGTGTTTTTGCAGTAAAATGAGTATCTGAATGTACTTCACTTGTGTTTTTGCAGTAAAATGAGTAACTGTCAGTCGCCATATACTTATTAAATCTTAGTAAAATAATATTATTTACTTACATAATGTCCACGTATTTACAATTAATGTATTACTACTTGTACGTCAGACGTAAGGCCAAGGTTAATAATATTCTTGCAGATTATTACGAAAGAATTCTTTCCCTTATTGAGATCCTAAAACTGAACTAAATACAACTTTAGTATCTTTATTTTTACTCTTCACCCAGGACAAGATTCCAATTACTGAATGAGCTTGTTGTAAGAAGATCGTGACGTTGCAGTCCAGACCAGGTACCAGGTTCGTTCTCAGGGTGCAGCTTCCTTCAGTCAATTGCTTGTGGCTTAAAAAATAACTGTTTGGCCTGATTGTCATACGCAAAATAAAACTATGAGCCGTAAGCAAATCCTATTCTGTTGCAACGTTCTGCTGTAGACGAGTAAGGTAGAAATGAATCGATGCGAGGGAAGGGGTGAACAGTCTAACGAACGTGTCTCTCCTTTCGCGTCGCTATGAGGCGATCTCTCGCCACTCTCCTGACTTTCTCTGGGTCTCCCTGTTTACGGCTGGTAATGACCACTGTCTTATAGAGTTCATTGTTCTTTGTCCTGTCATCTTCACTTAGCTGACAATCATCAGGACAATACACATCTGAAACAACTTTCAGATGTTTCTATTTATCAAAATATCGGCTGTCACTGATATAGCACCAAGATGCCGGATAACTCTAGACCTGAAGAGGTTACGACTGTAGCTATCTTCGAACCATCTTCCCGAGTGTCTCTTCCATAAAGTAATGAGTTTTTGAAAACTTGCTCCTTACAAATGGAATACGAAAGGAATGAAGATGATTCGTCGACACTGTATGCATGGCATGGTGGGTCTTAGCTGCAAAGGTCTGAACTATTGAACATTGACAAATATGATTTACATTGACAAGTAAGAATATTGACAGGTTTGGTGTATGAAGGCAATTTCAATATTTATCGTGTCGGGAAGATATATTTTGTTAAAAAATTTGGATATTTTTATGCCATTATAATTAATTTAAAGGTTTAATTTGTAGTAGTCAAAATTGTTTATAATATACGGTAGTTATGGTGTAGTGACGTCATCTAGCGGCAAAATGCTGCTGATACCATAACAAAATGTATGAAAGGAAAATTGTAAGAAAAAGTAAATGAATTATTTAGATACACAGATTCGTATCAAGAAATTGTAGAAAAATGTGTAAATAAAAGCATTTATCAAAAAGAAAGAAAAGAGGAAGAAAGAAAGAAATAAATACAGAAGAAAAAGAAAGAAAGAAAAAATAACAGAAATCAAAGAAAGAAAAACAAGAAAAAAGAAAGAAAGAAAAGAAAGACAGAAGAAAAAGAAAGAAAAGAAAGAAGAGAAAGAAAACAAAGAAAGAAAAGAAAGAAAAACAGAAGAAAAAGAAAGAAAATCAAACTGATGTTAAAATCCGAGGCAAAATGTAAATTTTCAATATCATACCTACTTTGCTAGTGTAGGTGACTTTTAATTGTTGTTCTCCAAATAAGACAAAAAGAAAGGTCAAACCACTTGAAATTATTTGAGCATTGTGTTTAGCTCCCAACGTCACAGAATACAAAAGATGTCTTGAGCAAATCGTCATTATGACAAACAACATTTTTATAAGCTGCCACTCATTTTAATATGTCAGATTTGCATCTGGCGTTTATAGCTTTTTTTTAATATGTCAGATTTGCATCTGGCGTTTATAGCTTTTTTTTAATATGTCAGATTTGCATCTGGCGTTTATAGCTTTTTTTTAATATGTCAGACGGCATCTGGCGTTTATATTTTTTTTTTTAATATGTCATTTAATCTGGCGTTTATAGCTTTTTTTTAATATGTCAGATTTGCATCTGGCGTTTATAGCTTTTTTTTAATATGTCAGATTTGCATCTGGCGTTTATAGCTTTTATCCTGATTGCCTGTAGACACGAGGATATTACATTTTCTGAATTGATTTCATTAAAATAGTCAAAGAATATCGATTTTGCTGATGGCATTATTAAGAAAAAGTCTGACAGCAAAATATATAAAAACTTGCGAGTAAACAGCAAAGAGAAAGCCTTTAGATTTATGAGTTCAAATCTACCGATCTCCTGTTACACCAATCCCAAATGACTCCAACGTTGGCATCGTTTTCGCGAAATTGACTAACACAGATGGTTTGTGAGTTCAATTTTCGGGGATGAAATATGAAGCATAGGATCAACATACGCTGAATATGCAATTGAAAGGGTTCGGTTTGAACATTAATGGATTCAACATACGCTTGAAGAAGGCTAGGAAACACACCAACTGAAATGTGATGCAAAATAAAAAGGCGATGAGATTTAAATATATTAGTTCTTATCTGAGAAGAATAAATAAAAATAAATGCCAACATGGGATGGATAATGTGCTAGAATTATCTTTTGAATAAAGATAGTAGTTGAACGTCGCCTGAGGAGAAACATTTGTAGTGTTGAAACATAACTGCCATTATGAATCGATTTTTAACATGCTTTAATATCTTATTTCTATGATTAGGTTTTCTTCAACTTTTACCAGTTTTCTTCTTACCATCGCTTTTGCTGCAACCCGTACACCATTACGTGTCTACTATCAAATTTTACCGTCTTTGTGGCGCCTATTTTCGCATTGGTTTAATTACATATTCGCTTCCATTTGAATGTAGGTCTTTTGCATTTATCTCTAAAATTACTTTTTGCAACTTTCCAGCTTCTCATGTTAGATGTTCTTCGATCTTATATGCCGAGGTTAATGATGTGTTTTTGCTGCTATACGACCGTCCCGGTTGTTGTTTTCGCAATAATCTGCGTAGTGCATCAACTAAAATCTCACTGTCAAGTCTGAATTCCCCACCCCCTCACTTGTCTGGTTGTTAAAACTTTTATTGCCAACCGAGTCTCTTAGAATCTTTCTGTTATCTCCCTTATCTAACTTTTGCAGTCTTCCGCTTTTCTTTGCATTTCAAAAACTTTCAGTATAAAAAAATAAGCTAATGTTCAACGTTAATGAATTGCCTTACACCTCAACGTAGTATAATCCCTAGCAAGCCTGTCTTGCTAGAACTATTACGACTGATTACTGAGTTCTATCCTCACAGTGTTCCCCATACTTTCGGGCTTGTGCCACATCTAAGCTACGCTTAGAAAATCACCATATTAATAAAATGGAACAAATCTTTCTTAGAAATTTGCATATTATTATCACTTTGCCATGTTAGATCTTTCATTGGCCCAATAGTTTTGGATGAACATTTTCAGCTTCAAGCGGTGTAACTTGTTACACGGCAGCTCCGAAAATGCAAAAACTTATTTTTCCAATATTCAAAGTCCACTGACACTAATAATAAAAGCATGCTGCTAAACAAGCATCTTAATAAAATAAAGGCGTATGATCATTTTGATGGTGTTTTTCTCAAAACTTTTGCACGCAAGTGTACCGGGTTAAACAGCAAAATTGTACAAATCGTGTCACACCAAAAATTGTCCAACTGTCAGATTAACCTTTGAACTGTTGTAGCTTAGAAATGATTACAGATATCTTACTGGAATTCTCCGAAGATTTTATAAAAATATTGGACTCTACTTTGAAAAATAAGAATGTATTTAGCTCTAAGTTGAAATGATGACCCCTTTTACCGTTGTGACCTCTTGACCCAGTTTTCCTCTTTACTGTTCCCTCTTTTTAAAACTTATTCACCGTTCTTTTGATGGTTCTTGAATGGACTTTGAAGATCGAAGCCAGATTATGAATGTTGGTACCATTACAGAAGGCCTGAATGATCCTTTTCGTCTCACCATTGTTCACTTGAGAATACACACAAAATGATTTAAACCTGTTCTCTTTCTAGCTGAATAACTCAAAGCGTTTTGCAGTGATAAATGGTGTCAAGATGGCTAAACGTCTTATCTGAAAACCTAGAAAAAAACTCAAGTAATTTTGTGTTTTTTTTTTATATTAAACATTTTGTGGGATGGACAGTTATCCCATGCTGTTACAAGATTTTGGCAATTTTACTGCTACACCCGGTATATGGCAATGTGCAATCCACAAGAAATTATCACTTTGTCTTGACTATGTCAATCGCTTGTGTTGGATATGTACACTGACTGCCAAGTGAGAAATTACCAAAACAAACAAACGCATTTCATTTTACAACACAAAAAAAATCATATTTATATAATTTTAACCAATCACAAGCATTTCCAAAAATCATGTTCTACTCGAAGAAGATAATAAGCAAGTTGATATCAACCCCACAGCAAAATACTATAATTATTTTCTTTTTAAAAATATGATTCCATCACGACAGAGAAAATTTCCATGTTTCAAAACTGAAACTAAATTTACAAATTTAATTATAAAAATTAAACATAAAATCCATAGTATCGTTCCAATTGTCAATTTGCATTTAAGCGTAAAATGGAAATTAATAAGAAAAGCTAGAGCTTGTAGGTCATTAAATGACGCATGTCTTTTGTGCATACATGAAAAATTATACATTATCAAGTTTCTGAAAAATAAAAATTTACTAAAGTAAAGAAATGAAATAGCTATTTTTTGTAGGCACTGTCAAATATTTTCCTTAAGTAATAATTAATTTTGAAAACAAATAATAATAAAGAATAGAGATGAAACATACATTTTTATATTTGATCATTAATTAGTAAATTAAATTCCAATATATTTATTTGTAAAAATACCGTATAGTCTATTAGTTATTAGAAGGTTGAATGGTACTTTAAACCTGTAAGAATAACATTTAAATATTAAAAATATGTCTTACTCTATATTATGGCCCTTTTAGAAAATCTTACTGTATAAATTAAGCGGAGAAATAAAAATGCCAAATGTATGCATATGTTCAAGGGCAGTTGTTGAAAAAACTTTGCTACACACAGTCCAAACATCGAAATAAGATTACAATTGAATGTTTTGTAAGCTGCTGAGATAAAGGTTTATTTTTAAATACCGAAAAAGGCCAGAGCGTTGCCACTCGTCGTTCATGCAGTTAAGGGTTATATTTGTAATTATGAGGCCTTCTATTATTTTCAATTATAGGGGATTTTTTTGTTTGCATTTATAGGGGATTCTATTATTTGCAATAATAGGGGATTCTGTTATTTGTAATTAAAAGGAATTCTATTATTTGTAATTATGAGAGCTTCTGTTATTTGCAGTTATGAGTCGCTTCCATTATTTTTAATTATGAGGGCTACTGTTATTTGTAATTATGAGGGCTTCTATAATTTCCAGTTATTAGTCGCTTCCATTATTTTCAATTATTAATGCTACAGTTATTTGTAATTATGAGGGCTTCTATTCTTAGTAGTTATTAGTCGGTTCCATTATTTTCAATTGTTAGAGATACTGTTATTTGTAATTATGAGGGCTTCTATTCTTTGAAGTTATTAGTCGCTTCCATTATCTTCAATTATGAGGGCTACTGTTATTTGCAAATATGAAGACTTCCATTATTTGTAATTATGAAGGCTTCTATTATTGGTAAAATCGACGTGAATATTCGAGAAATTTTTTTCAAGAAAAAGTTTCGCCCTTTAACTTCTTTTTCTTTAATAAGATTTCTCAAATATTCAGGCCGGCAAATGAAAATAAATGAATATATATTTTAATAATTAGATATAAAAGCGTCTACTCAAATATGAGTAACTACTTAAAATAACGTTTAAAGGGATTAAATTTGTCAGATTAATAAATAAAAGACCCATTCCTTCTATATATATTAAAACACACACACACACACACACACACACACACACACACACACAAATATATATATATATATATATATATATATATATATATATATACGCTCTCAATTAAATTTTTAAAAATTCAACTTTAGCGTTGCAACTGTACGCTCCACAAGTTTGTATCAGTTATCCGTAATACAAAAGAAAAAACATATTTTGATTTGCATTATATTTTTTCGTCTCGGATGCTACCTGAATTTTACCAAAAACAAAATAGTTTCCATGCCTGATGATGACCGGAGAACCGGTCGAAAGTACTTGCATATTAAAGGAAGACTTAATACAGTTTATAATTTAAAAAAAAAACAAACAAGGATCATAACATTCATCGAGTGGTTAGTGGGTTAATGCATCTTTAAAATTTAGTTAGGGAAGTGAATTCGCCATTTTATCTCATTAACTTTACTAATTTACTTTTTGTATGAATGATTCATTATATATATATATATATATATATATATATATATATATATATATATATATATTATGTGTGGGGGTATGAAAATGTGCTTGTGTGCGGTTAAATACCAGGTCGGACTGGGTTCTTTAGCTTCCTTGTGGAATGATAATTCTGAGTCCAAAATGGTTGTTTGGAATCTTCGTGGTACTCTTCGCTCCAATTCTGTATTGTCAGTTCTTTCGAAAGGTGGGGCTGTTTCTTGTATAGTTCTTCCCCATCATAATTAAATCTGACGTGGAGACAGTTTCGCTGTTCAGCAGTAAGAACTGAGTTTTGGGGCCCTCATAGATCGTCTATACAAAACACTTTAAACGTGAACGTACACAGGTATCGGAAAGGGGGGGAGTAGAAAATAGACCGAGGTGTTACTTGCTTCGACGCCCTTATCAAAACCCCACATTGAGAAAATAATGGTATCTTTTTTTTTTGTTACAAATGCGTTGCCTTTTCCGGAAAATAGTTTCGAAGTCAATGCTGTTGACCTTGAATTGAGTTAGTGTTTGCTCAACGTCGAAAGCAGACGATATTCTTTTGGCGTTTGTGACGTCAAGGAAATCTTCTGAATTCACTTAGTGTTTGATTTTCTTATCTCGCTTGTTACGTAGTATACGAAAAAAAAAAAAATAGATCGCATTGTTGAAACACGTGAGAAAGTGAAAATGTCACTCGTTTTATTCCTCTTTTTAGTCTCGAGCCACTTCGTGGAAAAAAATTGACTATTTATTTTCAAGGTTGCGTTCATAGAGTCTGACATATCGAGTCATAAAGAGCAGTTATCTAAACTTAATATCAATTCTTTTAGAACTACTTCAAAAACTAAGTAAATTTTAATTAGGTACTTCCACTGAAAGCCCATAACTCAGGTTTAAAAATGAAAAATATTTCGTAAAGTTTTTATTTTAATTTTAATTTCAAGCTAATAGATTAAATTTAATATTTTCAATAAGCAAAATACTTTCCAGTATTTCGAAACTAATTTAAATTGATCGGAAGGAAAGGTTTTGAAATGATCTTCGTACCATTTTTAGCCATCTATCATCACAATGTAATTCGCTTTTTTAAATCTTTCAAAAATAAAATATACTTTTCTGAAATTTTATTTGAGGATTATTAGCTGATTTAAAGTTTAATTAATCTGATTTGAAACAAATATTACTTACTTTAAGTTTCAAATATCGCAGAAATACATTTTAACACGGTGGTAGATGTTTATTTATGGTATTGACAGGTTGACTGACAATTAAATATATATTATGTACATAAAAAAGGCGCTTTGTTATATTCCTCAAGTAATTACTTGAGGAATATAACATGAGCGCCTTTTTTATATAATTTTTTTTTATCTATACAGTAATCTTAAGAATTTAGGAAAATGTTTTCCGTAATCTAATGCTTTATTGAATTTCAAGTACTAGGATTTTAGATTTATTATAGTAATTGTTCTTATTTTCTATAGCGTATATTCGACTGTATCAAATTTAAAAAAAAAATATTGGTGTTCAATGAATTGTAGTATGATTAGTAAATATAATTTTTACTTAATAACACTATCACCTAATCGGCAAAAATTATTACATAAATTTAAAAGATTTAAAACTTTATAAATTTTAAAAAATGAATACATTTCTTGTAATTCTTATTTATCGAAATTTTTTTAAAGACAATAATGTCCACAATATATGTTATTCATAAAAGCAATTAAAAGCTTTTCTAATTTAATAATATTTTAAGTTTATTGCATTTTTTATTTTATGATTCAGAGATTTTCTGTAACAAAGGGTCCGGTTTTACAAGAAAAAATAAATAAAATTAATGATTTAAATTCTCCAAGGGCTTGTGCTTCTAACGAATATATATACATTAATCGGTACAAAAATTAATTTTTCGAAATTTCATAAAATTAAATAAGTGTGTATGCGACTATGGGAGGCAACAGATGTAAAAAAAATATTTTTATAAAAGTTTCTTAAAAAGTAACATTTCCAAAAATAATTTCATTGATTTGCGAATAAGTTCTGAGAGTTTCATTAAATCCGACAATAGTTTCAGTTTTCCAATTATTTTCAAATCAGTGTGTTCTTCACCTCAAAAATTGACGGTAACATCTCCAATACTAATCTTTGGTCCCCCGTGGATGCAAGAAAAACAAGATTTTTAACCATAATTTCGAACGTTTTATAAAGGATAAAAAAAAATATAATTTAATAATAAAAAAAATCATTTGGTCTTTCCTCTTAAAAATTTTGATGATAAAAGTTTTATTAAGTTTTGGGAAATCAGACAAAGTGGAAAATTTTTTTTATTGTATTGACAATGAGTCTCACCATTGCTAGGTAGGAGTCTTTAGGTCAGAATGAAAGACAAATCTGTGTGTTTGTGTTGTATTTAAACCGTTAATTTCTGCTTGATATTCGCCACCAAACCGCATACCGCATTGTTCTACTATTTCTTTTGCAATGATCGCAATACCAGTGTTATCAGGAGTGAAAAAGATTCGCTTAGAAGAAAATGCATTGAGAGTGCACTGATCTCAGAATTCCTGACGATAAACCTAAGACCAGGCTCATACATTATATCATCAATCCTTGCAAAAGCTGTATAGAGCCCAGCAGAGATAAGCAGTTTTAATACAAAAAAAGAACTGAAGTTTAGTTCTTTCATTCTGGCCTAAATAAGACGAAACGTGTTGTCAATAAAAAGGTTACCACTTTGTCTGATTTCTTTTGTTTGGATTCTATATGCTACTAACACAAAAACCAAAATAATGACAAATTAAAACCTGAAGTGGGATTTTACAGAAAGGACTTTAAAAACGTCACAAGAAATACATGGGTGAGATATCTAGAAGTGGAATTAAAATATTATATTAATACCACTATACTATAATCAAAATAAAGACAACACATCATCGTAATACGTTTGACGATAATCTCGACTTAAATAAAAAGTAATTTATTAAGGCAAATATATATATAATGCACTAATCTCTGAATCATCAACGACATATTTACGTCGACGTTAAATCAACATACCTCCTTTCCTAACAAACTTACTGCTATCTGTTTATATCTCTGAGATTGGGTATTATGATTACTTATATTATTTACATTATTCAGACTGTTACCGTCATCTTCATTGCCATATTCACAACTTTTCGGCCGTTGTGCGCTCCAGCCTACTTCAGGTGACATATAGCCCAGTGGATAAAGGGGTTGGTTAGATCCAATGACTAGACCCAAAGAGTTGTGAGTTCAATATCTGGCTACAGCAGTGGTGAACCAAAAAACTTGGAGAGTTAAGTTAAAGGGAGATAACTGAGACACCCGGGAGAGGCATGGCACGTGGAACTAGAACAATCTACAGCGGTGGACGAAATACAGGGTTCGGTTTGAAATTCCAATCACCCGAAGAAGGCCGGAGCGTACAACGGCCGAAACATTGTGAATATGACAATGAAGATGAGTATAATAGTCCGAATAACGTAAATAATGTAAATAAACTTACTGCAATTAAAATGCGAGATATTTAAAAACAACAGCGACGATAAAAAGAAAAACCAAGCCGGCAGAAAGCTGAATACATTAGGTTAGATATTATAGATAAGAAAATCGAACGCTAAACATTTGAAATTTAAATTTAAACTTCAGTTTTCCCTCGATATAGAAATATAGCCAGCGTTCTATCTATCTATCTATCTATCTCAGTCTATTCATCTCTGACTTTTAAAATTAAAAACATGAACTTTGGATAGATTTTCCCCAATTTCTTTCACAAACTTTTTCGAAAACAAGGAAAATACAATAAAAAAAAACCTTTGATTTTCAAAAATGTAAATGCAATGTCAGTCGTTACATTTCGTCTTCTTTTCTTCTATAGCTAAATGGTATAGCATGTAAAGCTATATGGCGGTTCATAATATTTATCAATGAAGGACTCAGTTCCGCAATGTTAACATTTCTCAAGGACATAATATATACTTATGAAATACATTAAATACATTTTCAAATTAAAAACTTTCTATATGACGACTGTTAATCAAGTGACAATATTACAATAACTGAAAATTAAATACACACACAGGCATATATATATATATATATATATATATATAAACACTCGTTCACTACTAGAAAGTTATTTTGTAAACACACATTCACGCACACACACACATATATATACATATACATGTATATAGAAAGAGAGACAAATAGATATGAGCATTAAGATAGATTAGATGACTATAGACTGAGATAGATAGGTAGATAGATAGATAGATATGAACAGAGTGAAATGGGCAGATATAAGCATTAAGACATTCATAGATAGCTACGAACAGACTGAGATATATAAATAGATATTAACATACTGAGATAGATAGATAGATAGATAGATAGATAGATAGATAGATAGATAGATAGATAGATATGAATATGAGATAGATAGATAGATAGATAGATAGATAGATAGATAGATATGGAGTGAAATAGATTAAATTCCCGTATGTCTTACGTGTATAATTTTGCAAACAATATTGGCCCTCATTCAAAGGCGTTCCTTCGGAGTGGCTCTTGTGGTGTATCTCACTGGCCATGGTTCGAGGTAATACTTTCTCCATTATTGCAGCTAGCAGAGGATAGCAAAAAAAAAAGGTTTATAGTTACTTTATTCGTTGGTTAATTTGAACTTACGAAATAATAAATATTTTTTATCATTTTCTTATTTTCTAACTAATAACTGAAAATTTTTCTGAACGTCAACAAGACAATTGGTGAGTTTCGTAGAAATAGTGAATGTTATGACGCAGGCAAAGTGTGTTGTGACGTAACAGAGGTGTGACCTGTGTCTTTCTTTTCTAATATACACTATATTTTCTTTTTTAATAGAACAAATTTATTTATTGAAAAAAAAGTTTGAACAAAGTAACTATAAACAATTTTTTTTGCTATTCTCTGCGAGCCACAATGATGGAGAAAGCATCAAAATTATGTCATAAACTGAGAAAGGAACTGGCTAAAAACGCCTTTCAAATGATTATGAACTTATTTATCATCTTCATTTTAATTTGTTCAACAAACTCTAAACTCTGAAATCTTCACAATGAAATTATATGACAATAAGAAAGGAAATGAGAATGCTTAACAGCGGTTTTGTTGCATTTTTTACAGACATGATACTCTATCGATTGCTTCAGTCTTGTAATGCATTCTTCTTTTATATTCCATGTTCCTTTAAGGACGTGCAAGGTCATAACTTGCCGCAAAAAGTCTTTTTTCGTTTCTAAGTAAACTTTTCCCTTTATCAAATATCGTTGTTCTTTTTTTCTCATCCATTCACGCAAACTCGTTAACTACGTTAGTCAGTTTCCTCTTTGATTTATGACAAACCTGTATTTTTCATATAGAAATTAAGTTTTTATTTTCTCGTGCAAAAAAGTTATCGAAATTTGAAAAAAGAATCCCGACATATTTGCAGATGATATTGTTTAGGAAAATTGAAGGAATGTTTTTTCTTTACCTCTTGAATTGTTGAATGTTATATTGTGTTGTTCTACGACTCGTGATCATTAGTCAAATTATTGCTCGTCTCTTAGTATACTATACACTTTATATCTCGTCTACTTAACATATACAAATAGGTACAATCCTGGTTACCAATCCTCTACACCTCCTCGAAACGAAGTGGTACAATGCCTTTGGTTGTTCTACAAACTGTTTTCCCCTTGTTGTTTATGTCCTGTGGAGATTTTGGTCTCATCTCATCTTCTTCCGTGTCTGAGTCACTCCTACTATAATCCATAGTCTCGTTCGTCTTCTACTGCATTATTCTGATCTGAAGAACCCATCCTTTCGTCCCTGTCAAGGTCTTCTTCTAACATGATGTCTTCCTCTTCAATTCTGGGTCTTAATTGGTCAGAAGGGACCATTGGGAGTTTTCCTTTCTTTGATATAATGGTAGTGTTATGTTCTCTTTGCATGATGAAATTATCTCTTTCAGGATTTGCTACTTTGTCTTTCTTATACCATATCTTTACATTTGTCGAATAAAGCATTGTTAATGGAGATTTTATTTGTCTACCCATTAACGCAGATGGGCTTTGCAATATGTCTGCATGTGGAATCGTACTATAACTAAGCATTAACCTTGGTAAGTAACCGTGTATAGTATCTCTACTTGGGGAAACTGCTTTTAATTCCATTTTTAATGTCTGCACCATTCTTTCTGCAAACCTATTAGATTGTGAGTGACACAATGGTGTTTTATAAATGGAAAGCAGCCAATCCGCCCGACCAATTACATAAACGTTTATCACGAAATTCTGGTGCGTCCAAGTGACTTAAACATCCTATCAGCGACGCCATATTTTTGTTGTTCTACGACACGTAATCAGAAGTCAGCTTCTTACCTGTGCCTTAGTTTATTATATACTTTATTTCTCTTTTAATTAACATATACAAATAGCTTTAATGGATAACGGCTCGGAATTTAAAATGGAAGAGTCGAGTTCCATATTAAATGTCACTAAAAGTCTCAATTTTTAAATTCTCCTGTACTGATAAATTATCAGTTACCTCCCCTTAAGATCTAGGAGGTATAAAACGCATCCTGTAATATCTGTCAGTTGACGAGTAGTCAGAGTAAAGTGCTATAAAGCCTTGATATAACTTTATTCACTGGTTCTGTTTTTACTTCTGTGTGTTTGTTTTTGTTTTTGGTGCTTGGTTTTGACTGGAATTTTTTTCTTTTCTAGTTTTGCTTACTATTTTAAACGAAATTCACTTTTCGCTCATTTAGACAGAAATTATATATATTTTTTAGAATTCTTTGTTTTTTTTTTCATTTTTCTTTCTTTGTAAACTTATTTTATTGCAGGCGAAGGTTTGTATGGTGTTAAATAATTTGTGTTTTCCATCTATTTCAAAGAAATCTTTCTAAAAAAATAGTTCATAACATTTTTAATATCTACTTATAACATCACTCTGCTTTCTTTACCGTTTTACGTTTTAATGCTACGTATTTTCAAAAACGTGTGTTAGTTAAGGCAGTGCCAAGAAACGTTATTTTTGTCCCCTTTTATGCTTTTTATTTTTCTTCAGGAATAAAATACGTAGGGGAGAATGTACTGATAAATCATCAGTTAGCTCCCCTTAAGATGTCGGAGGTATAAAAAATCACCCTGTAAAATTCGTCAGTAGATGAGTAGTCAGAGTAAAGTGCAATAGAGCTTTGGTATAAGTTTATTCACTGTTTTTACTACATCTCCCTCTTTCCAAATTATAAAATTTACCCTTTTCGCATTCTGATTGTTTGCATCAACTTCTTTCTTGTTCCTATCTTTCTAAAACGTATTCGTTACTCTCAAGATTAACGAATTAAACGATTACTGATAACACTGCAAATATTACAGACGCACAACTGATTTTCCGGAATATTTTGTTTCCAGAACGATGACACATAATCGTTTTCTTTTTTTTAAACCAACAGAGGTCATTGACTTCCTAATCCTACCTTTAAAGTATTTGAATTGTAAGACACAAACCTTAAATATAAATTAAGTGGTTAACTGCTCGAGCAACGAACAATTTAGATATGCACACAAATTTCTTTTTTAATAATTTCACCACAATCAAGCCTATAATGGCATTAAGAGGGAAGGGGATACTAAGAGTGGAAGAGAATGAAAAGGCTTTAATGAGGAGAAAGGACAATAAAAGAACAGGATTCAGGAAGACATAAGATAGCGATTGACGTTGTATTTAAATTTTTAGAGATTGTAGCTGACAGAGACACAGTAAATCGGAATAGATTTCTAAAAGCTTGAAGTGCAGGTAAAGAAACCATTAGATTAGAACTTATGCTTATATCGAGTTAGTTCAACAGTAAAAAGGCGAGACCTAGTTGCCAATCTAGTCAAATAAATATTTTGACTAGTCAATAAATTCACGAGGTCGAGCTACGAAGCTACAGAGAGATATTTATTTGTAAGAGTACAAAATATGACACAAAGCCTAAAAGGGGAATGGGGCAAAAGACGATCTTCATCTATCTTAACATTAAACTCATTCTCACTTACCTTTCTTACTACATTCACCATAATACCTCATTGTCTCTATGAAAATCCTAACTAGTCCGCATATGTACAATTCATTGTCTGTGGGAGGAGGGGAATGAAATAACAATTTAAAAATCTAAACCCCAATGAATATTTACAAAAATGAACAAAATCTATATATAAAGGAGGAGAGCTTATTAGAACAACTTCCATGAAAATATTTATAGAAAAGACAGAGGGAAGCCACGTCAAGACGACAGGAAAGTGACTGAAGTCGAGATGCCAATAACGTTACAGGCTCTTCTTTGGATTTCATCAAGAATCTCGGGATATATAAACAGAGAACCAGCAATATTTAATGCGCGGATTGATAAATTTATAAATGTACAATATGGATTCTGAAGAGAAAAAAATGTCTAGCACGAAACAGTGAACCAATCTTCTTAGCAGCAGATTTGACAATTGATTCAATATAATTGTGCCACTTCAGGACAGTAAGACATGAAGTGGCGTCAGACCAAGAAAGTGGAATGAGTTGTTCTCCTGAAGGTTAGCATCAGCCATACTGACCGAGGGTAATGTTATTCTCTGTGCTGATAAAAAGGAAGTACTTTCATTTTGGAGGCATTAGAGTTAATAAGATTTCTTGTCCCAGTTTAGAATTGACTGGAGGTTATTTTCGAGAGAAGCTGCCATACTTATTTTAATGGATCTATCGGACTAATCATTACGACAAAAGTAAATAGTCGTGTCATCAGTATATACACCTAGTTGGAAACTGAGGACATCGAGAAGGGCGTTGATGAAGATGCTTTCTTTTCTTTATTAATGTGAAATGATCTAGAAGTGGGGTCGTTCAGCATAACCAGTTTATTAAGAACGATTAGATTAAGTCAACTATCCAACCAGAGGCACCGTAGCAGTTGAGTTTGTGGAGAAGGCCAACATGCAAGACCCCGTCAAAAGCCTTCGAGTAGATGTCTTAACCCTGAGAGATACATTCAGTGATAACATTTAACATATCGACGATTCATATAGAGAAACGAAATTCATATTAAAAGAGATGCCGAAGCAAAAAAAAAAAAAAAAAAAAAAAATCGGTGGGTTCCTGTATTTTCTTGTTTTGACTCCTTAACTTTGCATCTTGGGACTTATCTACAGATGTCTTGGCAATTAGCCAACATTGATTAATTCCTGTATACATCGCGTTACATTTTGTGAAGTTGTTTTCTATTTCCTTTACTGGGAACAAAGAACATAGGTGAAGATAGAAATGCTAAGTCAATACAAAAACAGTAAAGAGAGGAATACGGCAAAGATGTGTTTTCTTATCGTATTGATTTAACCTTCATAGCGAGAGGATTTCTAGAATTTATTATTATCGAATATAAATACAAAAAAAAACGTACGTTTCACAAATGGCACTGTGTTGATTAGAGCTTCGGCAAGAAAGG